GGCCGTTTGCGGTTCGGTACGCGGCGCATCAGATCAACCTTCACCCCAGGGTCTCCATGCCGGAGACCTCCCCAGCTTTGCTGTGGACGGGGAAGGTTGGCGATGCGTCTGCGTTCCGTGTCTGGGGATCTCGGGCGTTTGTCCGCGACTTGTCTGCGAACAAGCTGTCCCCTCGTGCTGCTCCTTGCGTCTTCCTTGGCTTCCCCCCTGACGCGCCAGGGTGGCAGTTCTACCACCCCACCTCTCGCCGTGTTCTGTCCTCCCAGGACGTCACGTTTGACGAGTCGGTCCCCTACTACCGCCTCTTCCCCTACCGCACTCCGTCCCTCCCCCCGCCACCGCTCTTCCTTGTGCCAGGTCCCCCCCCGGTAGACCCCCTCCCCCCTCAGGGTCCTGCCCCTTCAGGTGTGTCCCAGGTAGACGCAGTCGAGCCTGTCGAGGTTACTGGTGACTCTGGTGCTGCTGAGGGTGCTGTGCCTGGGGGTGCTGACTCTGGGGGTGCTGAGCGTGTGGGTGCTACGCCTGGGGGTGCTGAGCCTGAGGGTGCTACTACTGGGGGTGCTGAGCCTGGGGGTGCTGAGCCTGGGGGTGCTACGCCTGGAGGTGCTGAGCCTGGGGGTGCGGAGCCTGAGGGAGCTGGGCCTGCTCGTGTGGCGTCTGGCGGTGCTGAGCCTGGAGGTTCTCCGGGTGCTTCGTCTCGGCGGGAGCCACTCTCTCCACAGGAGCTGCGCGAGTGGTTTGCCCGGCGCTGGAGGCGTGCTGCTGGAGCTGGAGGTTCTTCGGCTGCTGAGGGTGCTGGTGCCGCGGGTCCCGGAGGTGCTCGTACTGGGAGTACTGGAGCTGCTGGGCCTGCGGGTACGACTGGAGCTGGAGCTGCTGAGGGTGTTGGCGCTGAGGCTACTGCTGTCGGTCCTGGAGGCGGTCCTACTGGGGGTGCTACTGGTGCTGCTGGAGGTACTGGAGCTGGAGGTGCTGCTGGCGCTGGTGCTGCCGCTGGGGGTACTGGTGCTGTCCCTGCTGTGTCTGGAGTCGCCGCGCGGCCTCGGCCGTACTTCGTTCCGCTCCTTCAGCAGGTTCTTGGTCTCCCGCCTTCTACTGGTCCTCCTCCTCCCTTAGAGTGTCCACAGCCTGTCCCGTCACAGTTACAGTTACAGCCGGCCTCCCCACTGCCCGCTCCTTCTCCCTACACTGGTCCTACTGGAGGTCTTACTGAGCGTCGTGAGCCTGCGTCTCGCCCTGCGTCGCCTGTCCGTGCTGCTCGCACTAGTGGTCGTGGTTCGCGTCAGCGTCCTCCTCCTGTCCCTGGCACGCACCGGATGTCTCTGCGTCCGTCCACTGCTCCTCTGCGTGCCTCTTTGCCTTCTCCTCCTGAGTCCTCTCTTCCTGCTCTTCCTGACCCGGAGTCGGACTCCCTTCGTGCTGCCAGTCCGACTGTCACGCGTCTCCTTGCTACTGTTGTCACTGACCCTTCCTTTGAGTCCACTGCTGCGTCTGCCCTAGTTGCTGAGCTCGTCGACTTTGCTGCTCGCTGTCGTCTAGACTACGCTGCTAGTCTTGTTGCTGAGTCTGAGTCTGTCTGTCCTCCGTCCGTCGGGGGTGAGTGTGCCCTTGGCACGGACGTCCTTGAGGACAGACAGGAGGAGTTCCAGTGTCTGGCTGCTGCTTCACCTCATCTCGTGTCCGTACTGCTTACCCCTGAGGGAGACCCGGATGCACTTGACATCCCGACTCCGCGCTCTTACGCGGAGGCGATAGAGGGTCCTTACTCCTCTCAGTGGCAGGCAGCTATGGACGCAGAGATGGCTTCTTGGAAGTCCACAGGCACCTACGTTGACGAGGTTCCCCCGCCTGGGGCGAACATCGTCAGTGGCATGTGGATTTTCAGGGTGAAGCGGCCGCCGGGTTCTCCGCCTGTCTTCAAGGCGCGTTACGTGGCTCGTGGCTTCAGTCAGCGGCAGGGAGTTGACTACTTTCAGACCTTCTCTCCCACCCCGAAGATGACCACTCTTCGGGTACTGCTGCACATAGCTGCTCACCGCGACTACGAGCTGCACTCTCTTGACTTCAGCACTGCTTTCTTGCAGGGCAGCCTGCACGAGGAGATCTGGCTGCGTCGCCCACCTGGATTCACTGGGTCCTTTCCTCCTGGCACCCAGTGGAGCCTCCGGCGGCCAGTCTACGGTCTCCGCCAGGCACCGCGTGAGTGGCACGACACACTAAGGACTACACTTGCGGCTCTTGGGTTTGCTCCCTCTACTGCCGACCCGTCGCTGTTTCTGCGCACCGACACTTCTTTGCCGCCGTTCTACATCCTCGTGTACGTCGACGACTTGGTCTTCGCCACAGCTGACACTGCTGGACTCGCCCACGTGAAGTCCGAGCTGCAGAAGAGACACACATGCACAGACCTGGGTGAACTGCGCAGCTACCTTGGCTTGCAGATCACCCGGGACAGAGCACGCCGCACCATTACCCTGACTCAGTCACACATGGTGCAGCAGGTCCTTCAGCGCTTCGGCTTCACGTACTCCTCGCCTCAGGCCACTCCTCTGCCTACTCGCCACTCGCTCTCAGCTCTGCCTTCGGATGAGCAGCTACGGCTTGCGTACGTGGCCTCTGAGGCCAACACTGCTGATATCTTCACCAAGGCACTTCCGCCTTGTAATCTTCCTTTCCCAGTACTGCCGCATCGACCGTATCCACTACCACCTTTACCGCGTCTGCTAGTCTCCTGCCTGGGACGAAACCGAAGGGGGGAGTTACAAATATTTTATAAGCCCTAATTTGCTAGGTGCGACGTTGACGAAACTTGCGAACTTCTCAGAATCACTTAAAAGCCCTTTTCACAAGGCGACCTTGGGTTAGTCAAACGGGCATCGTGTGTACACGGATCGTGCGGAGCGAAGGTCCCTCTCCCCTGCCCTGGCCCACCCTCCCTCCTCCACCTGAACTGTTCCACTTCACTCCATCTCCGCCTGGCCTTTCTTCACCCCTTTGTACTCCCACACCCCCGCACTCCCCCTTCCCTTTCCCTGCCGAACCTCCCCCTGGCGCTCTCACCTCCTCCCCATCCCCTCCCCAACCGTTCCCTCTTTCCTGCCGCGGTAGGGTTTCGGTGCGGCCTGATGCCTGGTGCGGGATGCCCGTATTGAAACGTCCTTTTGTCCTATGATTTGATCGTGGCTAGATTCGGTTCCAGAGCAAGCAGCTCTATGGGAACGTGGACAAACCCTTGTCCTGATAGCTTCGTACGCGGGCAGCCTAGGCCCGTCAAGTAAACTAGGCCTGGAACGAAGCTCTCCGGGCTTGGCTTGAGACTCACCGCAGGTTCGAGACGACGCGCGATATTTTTGGGCGGGCGGAAATGGAGTGGAGCAAATTTTCCTCACGTGCGCCGCTCAAGCCCACTTGTTGTTCACTGGCAGGAAAAATGCCAGCGTGTTTCCGCCGAAGCGGCTACGCCTGCAGCCGCGCCCGCGCCCGCGCCCGCGCCAGCGACTGTGGCTCCGCGGCTCCGGCTGCGAGAGGCGGGAGCGCAGAGGCTCGCGTGTGGTTCGTATCCGCGCACGCGCCAGTCGCGCTTTCGACTGATGGTCTTGTCCCGTCCTGTTCTCCTCATCTTGTACATGTCCTGAATCCTCCAGGCTCAGCATGTCCTGAATCCTCCAGGCTCAGCATGTCCTGTGTTCTATCGTCCGTCCCGCAGCGGCAGCGAATAGACGAACGCGGAATGAACGATGCTTCTCTGCTTGAGCGCCGCCTGCCTTTCTTCCGCCTTTTTCTTCTCCTCGGATGTAGACGAACCAAGGGAGACACAGCCCTGCGCCTAGATGCTCGTCTCTTCATGTTTCTCTGAGAGTCGTTGGAAAATACACGACCCCTTTAATCCTCGCCGCGAAATGAAGGCTACCGCGCCGCTGTTACGCACAGTCGTGCTCCTATGCGACCCTCTGTGAAGTGGCGGTGATAGGAAGATACGTCGTACAAACGATCCCGAAGGTGATTCGGTACATTGTGACCAAGTATGGCTTTAGTACCGTAATGCGACTCGTAAGCTGTGCTTGTATAGGATGCCTTCTTTAGGAGGCCTTTCTTTTAATCACACTCGGGGGCTCCCGTTTTTTCGCCACGTGGCGATTTTTCATGCTCGGATTCTCGGTGAGAAGCTGGGCGGTTACTAGCTAGTAGGTAACCGCAGAGATCTGACAATTTGGCGGTTTTAGCTCGTGAAATATATGGGTCCGACTTCGGCGGACGGCGGATGCGACGAGATTGGAGGCGGAAGTGGCGCCGGAAGTGGCGGCGGGGGCCGTGGCTGCTACTACTTTACTAGTGCTTACGGCGGTAGTAAAGACGGCGGCGCTGCCGGCGGGGCCGCAACGAGCGTCGTTTCCGGCGCCACCGGCGGCTCCGGCTCCGTCGATCGCAGCTCGTATGGCTTTTCTGACGGTCTTTGCTCGATCGGCGGCGGTGGCGGCGGCGGGTGCGGGGGCGGCGGCGGCGGAGGAGGGGGAGAAGGAGGAGGAGGAAAGAAACCCCGCGTGGACGGCGCAGGGAAGCCGCCGCATTCACCGGCGCATTCACCGCCGAGTGTCGCGCTGAACCTAATGGGCCCAGCAGGCAGAGCCGGCAGTTTCGGAGAGAAAGAGTCCTCGCGGATTGAGTTCCGCGACGGCGCAATCAGCGGCGGGCTTCACGGTGAAAGTGGCGTGTTTGATGCCGGGCCGCCCGGGGCGGCGCCGGGTGCGACGCGCGATTTCGCCAGCGCGCTCTGGGGACCGACGGGTCCGACCGCGGCGCGTTACCCGAACCGCGACGCGGAGTCGGAATTGACGGGAATCTCCGCAGAGGGAAACGCGGGGAAGAAAGGATCGGCGGCGGGTCCGGCCGAGCGAAACGGCGGCGGCAGTGGCGGAGGGTTTGCGGTAGTAGCAGCAGCGTCCGCAGCGGCGGCGGCGGCGGCGGGAGCTGG